GAGAGAGAGAGAGAGAGAGAGAGGGATGGCTCGGAGCGGAGAATGTTAGATTCCGATTGCGACTGAGCCTCGAATTTGGTTAATGCGCCCCTGCGTTTTGCTGCGTTTGGCTGCGTTTGTGCTTTTGCAGAGGAGCAGTCGGGCAGTGGCAAAGTGCTGCGGCTGCGCTGGGGCCATGTTTGGCTGTCGGAGGGAGCCGATTGGTGCTGAGAGAGCCGTTCGGAAGGGCCGTTCGTCGTCGCTTGAGCACCACCATCTCGATTCCCCTCGACACTCGATGCGATCAGGCATTGCTTCGATTCGGCAGCCATGGAGATGATCTCGTTCAACGTGGACCACGGCTTCCTCGAGGGCGTCGTGCGCGGCTACCGCACCTCGCTCCTCTCGGCCAACCACTACCAGTCGCTCACCCAGTGCGAGACGCTCGACGACTTCAAGATGCAGCTCTCCGCCACCGACTATGGCAACTTTCTCCAAAACGAGCCCAGCCCCATCTCTACATCCACCATCGCCGACAAGGCCACACGCAAGCTCGTCGCCGAGTTCGAGTATCTGCGCACCAACGCCACCCAGCCGCTCTCCAAGTTCTTGGACTACATGACCTACGCCTACATGATCGACAATGTCATCCTCCTCATCACCGGTACGCTTCACGAGCGCGATACCCACGAGCTCCTCCAACGCTGCCACCCGCTCGGCGTATTCGACACCATGCCTGCACTCTGCGTAGCCTCGACGGTGGAGGAGCTCTACAACTCGGTGCTCGTCGAGACCCCGCTGGCGCCCTACTTTCGAGAATGCATCTCCGCATCCGACCTCGACGACCTCAACATCGAAATCATCCGCAATACGCTCTACAAGGCCTACCTCGAGGATTTCCACCAGTTCTGCATCTCGCTGGGTGGAACCACCGCACAGACCATGGCCGAGCTGCTCAGCTTCGAGGCGGATCGACGCACGATCAACATCACCATCAACTCGTTTGGCACCTCGCTCTCCAAGGAAGACCGCGCACGCCTCTTCCCCACCATCGGCAAACTCTTCCCCGCCGGCAACAATCTGCTCGCCAAGGCAGACGAACTGGACCAGGTCAAGTCCGTCTGCGACGCCATCCCCGAATACCGCTCCTTCTTTGATTCTTCGTCTGGCTCGGGCGGCAACCCCGGAGGAGCGGGTGCAAGCGGCGGCGGCGAGGCGAATGCAGACATGCTCGAGGACAAGATGTTCAAGCTCGAGGTGCAGCTCAACCGCATCCTGACCATCACCCAGTTCCAGTTTGGCGTCTTCTACGCCTGGCTCAAGCTCAAGGAGCAGGAGATCCGCTCCATCACCTGGATCGCAGAGTGCATCGCCCAGAATGCGCGCGATCGCATCGCCGACTTTATCCCCCCGCTCTAGACCCGCGCGCGCGCACACACACAGTCAATCACACTCCACCCTTGCTCTGCTTTTTCCAAGATTGTGCGCCTTGCAATTGGTCAAGTGAGGCACGCGGCTAGATGGGAATGTCGACGCCGTCGAGGATGGCGAGCCAATCGGCCGTGTCGAGCAAGGGCACGGTGGCGAGTACATCGTTGTTGAGTCGGTGATCCTTGTTGGTGGTCGCCTGTTCGAATCCATCCAACAGGTTCCAGCCGCTGCCCTCGTGGACCGTCTCGACGACGCTGGCCAGGTCGTGCAGCGCGCTTCTCTCGTCGCTGTTGGTCGCCCGCTGCTGTTGTACCGGCGTTGTGGGAGTGGCCACGCTCTGGTCGTGGGCAGCGACGAACGTGGTGAGGTCGCGCTGGGATTCGATGGGGCGCATGGCTTGGTCGCTGCGCACACGCTGGCCGAGCTTGTGCAGCACGCGATCGCGCAGTTCCGTGCGCGAGCCCAACAGCGCCGTGATGAGCTTGGTGTTGATCGCCGCCGTCTGATCTCCCCTCTCGGCCAGCTTGGAAAAGAGCTGTGCAATCTCGACCAGTTTCCCGCTGAACCAGTCGAGGTCGACACTGCTGGAAGCCGGGATGCGCGGCGAGTCGAGCACCCGCGATGCATCCGCCGAGAGCTTGGAAAAGACGTGTGCACGTTGCAGCCTCGACGGCTCAAAGTCCAACTTGTCCGCACCCATCTCGGCCCCGCTTCTCGCCTCTGGGTCGATTGCGCTCCTCGTCTCTTGCAGCGCCCCACCCGGGTGGGCCTGCCCGAGAATGGGCACCGAGAGCACGGTGCATGCGAGGAAAACATGCCTCGAGATCCAGGAGGAGCTAAAGGGCACATGGGCACTGCTCGCCATGGTCCAAATGCTCGGCAGCAGTTCAATCAGCCTGCGCGCCAGGTTGAGCGCATAGTAGCGCAGCGCCGGATCGCCGACCCAGGGGAGAAACATGAGGTTGCTCGTCATCAGACACCTTAGCGACAGCCACGAGCTCGTCAGCACCAGCGCCTCGGCAAACTGGCGATGGCGATAGATGAGCTCGGCATCGTCCATCCGATGTCCTGCCTCGAGCTGCGACAGTTGGGCCAGGATCTGCGCACACGATCGCCCGCCAAAGTAGGCCATCGGTTCGTCCGGGTCGTAGAGCGAGCAGAGACCACGGTCGAGTTCCAGCACACGCGCTACGGCTTCCTGATCCCGTTGTCTCTGCGTCCTCCAATCTCCCGCCTTGCGCGAGGTCAGCTCCGTGAGCTGGTTGGGCAGCAGGCGCAGCTTGCTCACGTAGCGCGACATGGCGTACGTGATTTCCTCGAGCTCGAAACGATACGCCTTGTCCGGTAGCGGCAGCGCCTCTGCCTCCTCGTCGATCATCGGCGGTCGGCCGGTGTAGAGCGAGGACCACCTCTCGATGACGATGAGGCTCGATCCGATGCGCCTTCGCATCTGCCGCGCCTCCTCGGGCGTGAGCAGCGCGTCGTCGTACGTGATCGCCTCGGCAGCTTTGGGCGACGACTCGTCAAACAGATTCACCCGAAGCGCCCGACGAATCGACTCGCCCGTCAGGTGGTATGCGATCTCGCTCATGCCGAGCAGATTAAAGATACGCAGCGCCAGCGTTTCGAATCCAAACCGATCCAGCGAAGTGTCCATGATGGCGTCGACGTAGTTGAGCCGCGGCTGCGCAACCGCTCCGTGCTGTGAGGGGAGGACGTTGCCCGACCGCGCGAGGGCCAGCGCCGAGGTGATCCACACATCGCGTCGGTCGGCCGTGCGGATGGAGAGCGCCAGCTGCGTCTCCCTCTCGCTGGGAATCAGGAAGGACGTCGAGGCCAGACACACGAGCAGACTCGCCACCATGCACCGCGACACGCCCGCCGAGGTCGAACCGGCGCGTTTGGAGGAAAGCAGTTGCTGCCACGCCGCCCACAGCTGCTTCTCCTGCACGGGGATCATGATGTACGTCATCTCGGCCAAAAAGTAGTTGAGGATGCGATCCACATCTCGCTGCGGCGGGAACAGATGCTTGACATCCTCCCACACCAGCCGCAAGCTGCTCGTCAGCATCAATTCTTGCCCACCGCTCGGCTCGATTGGGCCTTGTGGCGAGGATTGCTCCGATGTCCCACCGAGCTCTGCCTCTAGGCTGTCGATGGTGCTGCGGAGCAGTGCAATGTGCTGCCGGATCGCCGATGCCGAGTGGTGCGTTGGTGGTGTGTGGATGCGCGTGCGCTTGTGTGGCCGCTCTTCCGCCTCGTCCGGGGCTGCAAAGGTGTTGGAGGCAGGATGGAGATCGTCTGCGTAGCATGCGGATTGGGTGCCGCGCAGCTGGCACGAGGCGCACGGCCGCACGCGGTCGCACTTTGTCTTGCGCTGCTTGCACGGCTGGCAGTTGTACCGATACGCTGCCGCCTGCAGCCTGCGTGCCGACTCGGCCTCCTTTCCCGAGTCGCTCATGGCGGAAGATCGCGACTTTTGAGCGGCCTTGCTTGCTCTCTGAACGCGTGTATGTAGCCCAAGCTTACGACTCTGCTGCGGTACGAATCGGTGGTGCACTGTACACGACCCGACGTGTATACGGCTCCTTGCTTTAGTTGTTCGAGAGGCTGTGATCCTTTTGCTTGCACGTTCTTGCGCGCTGCTTGGGGTGCTATACGATGCTGAGCGGCGCGAACATCTCGTCATCGCAACGGATGGTGGTCGTGCTTAAAGCCGTCGTTGGACCGCGAGAGCAACGTGAAATCTTCTCGGCCTCCACGCCGCGCATTCTCCGCGGTGCCCATCCAATCTAACATATTCAAATCCTCGCGCCAGTTGCCATTCCTCCTCCAAACTATCGCTCTCACATTGGGATTGCGTTGGCTTCGGAAGCACCAGACGAAGCGCCTGGAATCGACAGTGCTGTACGGTACTGATGCTGGCATAAGCCCGACGCAGACGGTAGTCGGTTCGCCTCTCGATGGGTGGATTGCGATGCACCATGGGGGTGGCGATGAGGCAGCGGCCGCCGTCGTCGGATGGAGAGACATGCACAAGATGGGGCTCAACAGCGCTTCTAAAAAACTTGTCGACGAGAGAGCTTGTATCCTCTCTCCCTCTCCTGCGGCAGCTGCTAAGCATCACTAGCGCTGGACTACCCTCAATCGTCACTTGATGAGGTCGATGCAATTGAGAAATGAGATGCTACGGTTACACATGATGATGCGGTCAAAACGGAATGCTCGGGGGAAAAATGTGTTTGTGTTGATGCTATTCGTTGGGCGACGCGCGCTCACCGCCGCTTCTTGACAAACAGCGCGTTGAGCGCCGCGCTCGACGGCTTGGGCGGGCTCGCGGGTCGTTTGGGCAGCGCCGCGAGCCCGCGAGCATTGGCGCTTGCATTGCCAGCGGGTGGTCTGGGCGCAGCGCTGGGCACACGCGGTTTGCCGGCGGGCAAGTCGTTCGCCGGTGCACCCGTGCGCGGTGGTGGTCGCGCCGGCGCTGGTTGTGGCCGCGAAGCCGCACCGGCATTGGCATTGTTGACGCGCGGTTTCTTGGGCGCTACGCTCGCGTCGGTGACGATCGTCTTGCGCTTCTTCTCCTCCGGCCGGCTGGGCGTGGTGCCATTCGGGCCCTGGCCCCACCGCGCCACGGCTGGCGGCGCGTACTGCGTGCCCGACTGCGGCCGCGCTGGCTGCATTGCTGAAGGCCGCGCCGGTGGCGGTCCCGGTGGCCGCGCTGCCTCCTTCTTGACGCCGACCGCAGCTGGAGGTGCAGGCGGTCGGGCAGGCGAGGCTGCGGCGGCGGCGGCGTTCGGCGGCGCACGCTTCTCCGCGCCACCGCCCGCGTCCTTGGCCAAGGTGCGGTCGCCCTTCTGCAGCATGGCCACCGTGATGGGCTGCACCGCACCGCGCTGCTCGGCGGTCGCCACGAGGCTTTCCCAGATCGCATCGCCGCGTCGCAAATGCTCGGCATTGCCAATGACAAAGAGGTTGCTCTTGGCACGCGTCACCGCCACGTTCAGTCGTCGCCGGTCGCTCAGGAACCCGATGCTGCGCGGCTCCGACGCCGAACGCACACAGCTGAGGATGATAATGTCCTTCTCCTGTCCCTGGAAGCCGTCGACGGTATTAAAGTCGATGCGCTCCACAATGTCCTGGCCATAGCGCTGCTGGAAGGTGCGCCGCAGCTCAAACACCTGCGCCTTGTACATGGTGACAATGCCGATGCGGTAGTCAAAGTTCTCGCGCGGATGGTCGGTGCGCAGCCGCTCGTACAGCGCCAGCGCCACGTTGGCCTCTTCGCGGTTGATGATCGAATGGAAGCGTCCCGGCGACTCGGGCGCCTTGGTCGACAGAAACTTGAACGGCCGCGTCAGCTCGTACTTGTGCCACGGCTGCCGCGTCAGCTCCGCCATATCGGGTCCATCCAACAGCTTTGAATCGTAAAACGCCTTGGAGGGGAACACCGAAATCTCCGGATGCATTCGATACTGGATGCTCAGCAGATGCACCGCCTGCGGCGCCTTTTCAAACATGCGCACAAACAGCGACTGCGAGTAGCCCAGCTTCTCCGCCTGCTGCGAGATCACCGTCGGCGGCAGCTGGTTCGGATCTCCCACCATGATGCACTGCTTGCATCCGTACCGCAGCGGGATCATCGAGCTCAGCTCCACCGCCTGCGCCGCCTCGTCGATCACCACCGTCTCAAAGTCGAACGCCACGCCCGCCAGCATCTCGTGCCCGGCGCCGGACAGCGTCGTACAGATCACGTCGGCATCGCCCAGGATCTCCATCCTCGCGCGCCGCCGGTCCGCCTCTCGCTGACGATGCGCGCTCTGCTGCTTGTCCTTGGCCTCGTCGAGCTTCGACATGACGCCCAGCCGCTTGGCAGACAGGTTGCGGATCTCGGCTTCGAGCTGCGTCACGAGCGTCTGCGCTCCGCTGCCACGCGCCTCGGAGAGCTCGGCCTGCTTCTGCTCGCGCTGCATCTTGAGGCTGTGGATCTCGGCGTGCAGCGCGCTTGGATCCGCGCCCGCCTTGTTCCGGTTCGCATCGAACGCGCCGCCGCTCTCTAATCGCTGGTCGATCAGGTAATCGAGCGAAATGTCCTTGACACTGACGTTCATGCTGTCGTCTCGACCCACACGCACCACCTTGGGGTGGAAGGTCTTGCCGTCCGCCAGCCGCATGCCCGCCCTGGCACGCTTGGCAACCTCGTCGATGGCCGCATTGCTCGGCGCACACAGCAGGATCTTCTTGGTCGCGCCAACCTTGCCCTGCGCTTGACCTGCCTGCACCGAAGTAGACGGACCCTTGCGATTCGACACAAACGCGCCGATCAAGGCACAGATGGTCTTGGTCTTACCCGTACCCGGCGGTCCTTGGATGAGCGAAAAACCCTCGGTAGCGAGAGAGCCCAGGATGGCCCTCGCCTGGGGCTCGTTGACCTGATAGCCATGCATGGCCTTCCTCACCTCTTCGCCCGACAGCGTCGGCTTGGGCGCCACGCGCGCCTTGATGACGTCCGAGAAGAGATCAAAGTAGGGCGCTGCCATCAGCGCCGCAAATTCGCGGTGCAGCGTGGTGAGCGAGAACAACTTCTTGAGCTCCCACTTGGATCGATTCACCAGCGCCGTGCTGACGCCCTGGCGGTCCTGGGACAGGCAGCATCGCAGCGTCAGCTGGTGTCCCTGCGGATGGCGCTTGAACGCTTCGACCTTGGCCAGCACGATCCTCGGCTGCTTGCCCGAGATCGCCGGCGTCCTCTCCTTGAGTCGCACGATCTCGGTGTCGCTAAAGTTGACGGTGGGCGGGAGCAGATCTGGAGCGATGGTGACGTTGATGTCGATAAACGAGTCCACGGTCGATCGACCCGCGACTTCGAGCGGCACGGTTGGCTCGTTGGAGCCCTCGGCCTCCTCCTTGGCCTGTCGAAACTGTGCCCAGCACTCGAGCAGCAGAAGCGGTCCAAACACGGATCCGTAGTCGCCGGCGTTCGAGAACTGAGCCTGGACGCGTCGGTAGTTGGTCTCGTGGCCAGCTAATTGGGGCGGACGGTCGCCTTGGTGGTCGTACGCCCAGGAGAGGATGCTTCTGTGGAGCGCAGAGTAGTCGGGCGGGCTGCGCAGGATGCGTTTGCGCTCGGCATCCGCGCGCTCGCGTCGAGCGCGCTCGAGGTGATAGTCCTCCTTGACGATCATCTGACGCCGCTGCGGTTGAGCCGGTTTCGAGATTCGGGGACGATCCGGCTTGGCGCGCAGCGCAGCAAGGCCTTTCGCCTCGGTCTCGTCGTCGCTCGACTCGGATGAAGAGGACGACGAGGTGGTGGCGTCGCTGTCGGTGCTGCCTGCCTTTTTGCGCGCAGCGGCCGCTCGGGCCGCGTCGGTGGTCGGTCCGGGCATCTTGTTGATCAGGGCGCCGGTCACCGAGCTGACAGCAGCGGGCGCCTTGACCGTCACGTCGTCCTCGTGGTTGCGACCCCAGCGCGTGTCGTTGGAGCGCACATTGACGTTCTGGGGCTTCCAGTTGCGGCTTGCGCCTCCTAGCTCTTGGCGTAATTGTGCCATCTTGCCGGTGCTCGCCGTGGGGATGTTGTTCCGGGAGCTCGCAGATGTACCGGCGAGCGACGGGCCGACACCGCGCGCGGCAGCTCCGCGGTACGCATTGATGGGAGCGGAAGGTGCGGGCGCGGGCGCGGCCTTGGGGCGGGTAAAGTCGAGTGTGATTGGCTTCTTGGCCGAGGCGGGGGTGGAGCGTTCGTCGCTGTCGATGTCGATGACATCTTTGGGGTCGACCTTGGCAAAGCTGAGCTTGGACTGCTTGAGCCTGTTCTTGCGTCGCTCCTGGCTCTTTGTGTTGAGCCCAAAGTTGCCCACGCCGGCCCACCAGTGAGAGTTGTCGGCCTCCGCCTTTGTGCGTGCGGACACGGAGGTGGAAGATCGCGAGGCATCTTTAGAGGCCGACGAGGAGCCCGAAGCTTGGGTGCCGGAGCTCGAGGCGCCGGCGGTCGATTGCGTCGTCTTGGTGTCCTCGTCTTCGTCGCTGATCTCGATGACGCCCGTGTCGGGGTCGAGACGCACCTTGAGGTCTGCAAGCTCGTCGAGGGAGAGCAGCGTGTGTCGTGCCGAGGCGTCCTTGATGGCCATCTGCTCGTTGATGAATCCGAGCATCTTTGTCTTGGACTTGGTGGGCAGGTCGTACTCGCCTCCGAACTGGTCGAGCGCCTTGAGGATGAACGAGTGCGTCTCGCGCAGGATGTCTTCGTCGTTCATGCGCAGCCAGCTCGTGGCCGACTCGAGGGGCAGGGCGAGCGCGCGGACCATCATCTCGTCTTCGGCGAGGTCGATCTCGCCGCCATCGTCGGCACCCGACTTGCCCGTCCATCGCCCTGGCGCTTCGGCAGCGCGACGAACGACGTTGCGAAAGACGGCCAGTGCTTCGACCATCTCCGAGGCAAAGATGGTGACGTCACGGAACCATGCGACCATCTCCTCGCGCGGGAGGAGGTTGGACCATGCGGGCGTGCGCTTGAAGATGGATGCGACGCTCTCGCACATCAGGCGCCAGATGGTGGGCGCCTTGAGCGCGACGGCCTGGAGCGTGGAGCGATCCTCGACGAGCGTCCAGGAAGTGCCTGGGCGGAGGAGGCCGTCTGTGCTGCCGGCGAGCACCTCGACGATGTCGGCAAAGCTGCGCACCATCCACTTGGCCAGGTCGTTGGCCTCGACCATCTTGACGGTGGCACTGATGAAGAGCGGGAGGTAGTCGGCGCAGGCACGCAGCGAGGCAGTGTGGTTGATCTGGAAGAGGATGCGGAAGCAGTCGGCACGGCTCTCGACGGAGCTGAACGCTTGTCGGAGGAGGTTCTGCGCGGGCTTGTACACGTCCGGATCGGGGCAGAGATTGAGAAGGAGCAGGCTGTAGGCGTCCGAGGTGCAGAGCTGCTGCAGCTCGTCCTCGCGCACAAACTCTCCAAAGTCGGCGAGCAGCGCGGCAAAGTCGGTGCGACGCATGGATCGAAAGGCACTGAGGATGCTGGCGATGGATTGGCGGACGCGAGACTCGTGGGCATAGTGTGCTGGGGGGACATCGGTAGCGAGTGGCTTGAAGATGTGCGTCTGCAAGGTGGGTGGCGTGCAGATTGCGATGCGAGCCAAGGCGGCGAGGAGGATGCTGGCGCCTTCCTTGGACGACTCGGTGCCAGTGACATTGTAGACCTCCCTCCACAAGACGCTGCAGACTTCGAGGGCCGGGTATTGTAGCTTTGCCAGGTCGTCGTAGAAGGCTGTGGAAGCCGCCTTCAACTTGGCGAGTTCCGACGGGCTCTTTGCGTTTTGCAGTCCCCTGAACTTTTCCCTTCTCAAGCTGTTGTTGCGCGCCGAGAGCGCCGAGAGCTTCTCCAAGGCCGAGACGAGGTTGGCGGCATCGCGCTCGAACGCCTGTGCGATGAGATCCCGCGCGGCGAGTCGAGTTGCGTCGTCTGCCTTGCTGTCCTTGGCGAGGGCGATGTGTGTGATGGGGGCGGCGTAGAGGTCGACGACTTGCCTGCTGTTGTGCTGGTCTGCGTGGTGGAGGACGAGGTTGATGGCTTCTGTGAAGGCGACGGCGCGGCTGTCGGTGGGGACGTGGCCCTGCTGCATGCGCTCAAAGAGGAAGTTGGCGATGCGCTTGATGGCTTCGCTCGCGAGCTGGCCGCCGACTAAGCGGAGGCTGTCGAGGTGGCTGCGCATCCAGCCGAAGAAGAGCGCCTTTTCGCGCGGGTTGTTGACGGAGCGCGACGAGTCGAAGAGCGTTTTGGTAAAGTAGGGGTTGTCGAGGATGCCGGAGAGGATGACGGTGGGATACTCGTCGTCGGGTGTGCCCTTGGCTGCCGCATCTGCCATCATGTTGAACCAGACTGCGGGACCGCGCAGCTTGAGGAGGACCGAGTAGGCCTTGAGGACGTCGGTGAAGCGGTCGTGACGGTCGTGTACATGGCTGAGGATGGTGGGGGTGAGTGATGCGGCGAGGTTGGCAGAGTTGTTGATGAGGACGGAGAGGAGGGACCAGTCTGCGACGGCGGCCTCGTCTGCGTAGCGTTTGCGGACACGTTCGAAGGCGCTCTGGAAGGCGGAGAGGATGGCCATGTCGTGTGGGAGAGGTTTGAGGCGGAGGAGCTGGCGTGCGGCAAAGGCGCGCACGGTTGGGTCGTCGTCGATGCCGAGGGTGAAGAGGCCAGCGGGGATGTCCTGGATGTTGGGAAGCTGATCGAGCTTGATGAGCTGCTTGAGAGCGGCGTGGAGCTTGGGAGCGGTGGGCGATGCGACCAAGGTGAGGACGGCGTAGATCTCTGCGCGGGAGAGCTTGCGGAGGACGTCGCCGGGCGACTGGCCAGCCTTTTCGAGCACGGCGAGTGCGAGTTGCTCCTCGACGCCGTCGATGTAGGCGAAGAAGGCGTCGAGCTTGTCGGGGGGAAAGGTGGAGAGGTAGACGGTGCGGAGGCGATGCTTTGCGCTGAGGAAGCCCTTGTAGCAGTCGAGGCAGTTGGAGTAGATGGCGGAGGTGACGCGAGTGCGCCAGCGGTCGATCTGGTCCTTGGCACGGAAGCTAAAGATGCGGAGCATGCAGGACTCGAGTTCGAAGTCGCATGGCCTTGCTTGCGAGCAGTAGATGTGGGACTGCTTTGCCTTGCCCGAGTCGAGATGGTCGCATGCGGCGTGAAGGAGGTCGGAGAAGAGGTTGACGTCGGACTGATTCGCACGCACGCGATCGAGGAGGCTCTGAAGCTTTTCGGGCAGCGGTGGAGGCTCGGGGCGAGCAGCCGGAGGGCCGCTGCCTTGGGCGACTGCGCTGGGACGCGTGGATAAGGAGCTCATTGCGAGGCTAGACGAGACATGGTGGTGTTGGTGAGATGGCTGAGCAGCGAAGGACGATGGGCGATGGGCGATGGTGAAGTCGTACAAAGGCTTGCGAGCGTGCGTTGTTTGGGAGAGTGCCGTGGGTCAAGCTCTGCAGGGAGGGCCGTGCGGGATCGGCGGTGCGGAAGCGGAAGCGGAAGCGGAAGCGGGAGAAGGAGCGGTTGCGGTGATGCCAAACAAGGTTGTGCTGAGTCGAGGATAGCTTGGTCCTGTAGTTGCGAGGTCGATCTCCTCCTCCTCCTCCTC